TTACAGCAACACAAAACAGACTATGACAGGAGGTTTTAAAATTATTATTACTTCTATCTCCGTATTTGTTATTAAAATGTTTAGGCTTTGTATTCTTGATCCAGTCTTGGTAAGCTATTTATTCTAGGAATTCATCCATTCTCTCTAGGTTATTTAATTTGTTGACATATAATTGTTCATAATAATACCTTATGATCTTTTCTGTTTCTGAGGCATCTGTTGTAATGCCCTTTTTCATTTTTTATTTTATTTATGAGTTTCTCTTTTTTTCCTTATCTAGCTAAGGGTTTGTCAATTTTGTTTATATTTTAAAAAACTCTTGGTTTTGTTTATTATTTTTCTATTGTTTTCTAGTCTCTGATTTATTTCTGTACTGATCTTTATTATTTTCTTTCTTCTGCTAACTTTGGGTTTAGTTTGTTCTTCTTTCTAGTCCCTTGAAATCTAGTTTATTTATTTGAGAGCTTTCTTGTTTTGTAATGTGGCATTTGTCACTATAAACTTCCCTCTTAGTATTGCTTTTGCTATATCTGATAAGTTTTGATAAGTTGTATTTTCATTTTTGTTTGTCTGGAGCTTTTTAAAAATTTTGTTTTGATCTCCTACTGAACCCAGTGGTTGTTCAAGATTATGTTATTTAGTTTCTACATGTTCGTGAATTTTCCTGTTTTCTTGCTGTTAATGATTTCTGGCTTCATTCCATTGTGGTTGGAAAAGGCACTTCATATGATTTCTATCTTTTCTAATTTGTTAAGACTTGTTTTGTGACTTAAAATATGATCTATCCTGGAGAATGTTCCATGTGTGCTTCTGAAATATTCTCCTGCTCTTGAGTGAAAAGTTCTAAATATGTCTGTAGGTCTATTTGGCCTATAGCGCTTTTCAAGTTAGCTGTTTATTGATTTTTCTGTCCACATGCCACATGTTCTATCCCTTATTCAAAGTGGGGTATTGAAATCTATTGTATTGCTGTCAGTTGGTCAACTTGCTGGTGTCTCATATGTCCCTTAAGCTATGTTGACTCTTTTCCAATTTTTCTTTTTTTCCCTCTGATTGTATCATTTCTAATGACCTGTCTTCAAGTTCACTGATCCTTTTCTTCTGCTAGATCTAGTCTGCTGTTGAACTCTGCTAATTAATTTTTTAGTTCAGTTATTGTATACTTTAGTGCTGTGATTTCTGTTTGTCACTATTTAATTTTTTAATCTCTTTGTTGAAATTCTCGTTCTGGTCATGAATTTATCTCTTGACCCCAGTGAGCATCTTTTTTTGTTTTTTTGGATCGTCCATCATTTTTTATTGTTTCATAAGAGTTTTTCTTTCTTTCTTTTTTATTATACTTTAAGTTCTAGGGTACATATGCACAACGTACAGTCTTGTTACATATGTATACATGTGCCATGTTGGTGTGCTGCATCTATCGACTTGTTGTTTACATTAGGTATTTCTCCTAATGCTATCCCTTCCCCTCCCCAACCCTAGGACAGGCCCTGGTGTGTGATGTTCTCCACCCTGTGTCCAAATGTTTTCATTGTTCAATTCCCACCTATAAGTGAGAACATGTGGTGTTTGGTTTTCTGTCCTTGTGATAGTTTGCTCAGAATGATGATTTCCAGCTT